TTGCCCCAACAATCTGTAACGCTATTAGGGGGATCTTTGTAAAAAAACATTTGACCAGATTTGTTTAAAGACTCTGGGCACACACGTTTATGGGTGCGTCTTCCTTTCCGGTGCGTCTCATAAATTGGGGATTACGGTATTGTGAGAGTCTAAATGCCACTGCCCAAAAGCCTGTAACTCGCAACACGGGTGACAGAAATCAGGGGCGGAAAGCTCAAACACAAAATGTTAAACGCACATTCAACAGAGCGAAGTACACAAACCCAGTTGGCAGGTGGAGGCCAGTGTCGCGCTTTTCAGAGAGCGTGGCGACATCGCGGCACCATCGACGCTACGGTCGCCCCGCATCACGAGGAAGGCGCCCGATCTCGTCACATCTCGGAAGCTGAGCGGGGCTGAGCCTGGATGGTGCTTGGATGGGCGATCACCTCTACCGTGCACGCCAGGTCAACATTTGGCGGCCTCGGGGCAATGCGGCACCTCTACCGTGCGCGCCAGGTAACCATTTGGCGTCCTCGGGGCGACGTTGTGGACGGCATAGGGCAATGCGGCACAATCTATAGCTGTGCAGTACTTCGATTCTTCCACATATATGCTCTCTCCATCTACCACCAAGCCGCACTGACCAGCGTGAAGTATGGTCTCATCCAGCAGTGGATTGTCATGAAAAGCCTTTGCAGTACATGTATAACAGTGGATCCATTGCCATCCAAGAATTAACTCAATGCGGTTCAGTGTGGCCCGATTTTTACCATATGGTGATCAGCATTGGTCATTTACAGCCGCATGGGTTTCATCCTCCCACGGCCCCACGCGGCGTAAATCCCTGGGACGCTTTGACCCCCCCCCCCCCCCACCGGCTGCCTCCTGCTCTACAGAGGCTCCAATGCGGTTCCACTCAACCACTTTCACTGAGCGTGCAGTTTCGCCTGACATAGGGAGAATGCCGGAGGAGTCAGTGAGGGATGGCCGGTGCTCGTGGCTGGGTGGCCAGTTGGTCAGGTTTAGGGTCAGCGAGAGAGGACCGTCTTCTTGGTTCTTTCGGTAAAGTCACGTAGAATGGAAATAATGAAATAATAAAAATAAAACATTCTAAAATAATTCTCACGACGTTTCGGCAACAACGCAAGCAGCCGTCCTCAGGTGAAGAACATGTCTGTCGATAAGACAGAGTCTGAATGACACGTCCTAGGCTTGGAGCGTCTATTTAATCTGGGAGGGAGGAGGAAGAGCGCCTTGACAAAAGAAGAGAGAGGACCGGTGCTAGTGGCTGGGTGGCCAGTGTGGGTCAGGTTAAGGGTCAGCGAGAGAGGGCCGGTGCTCGTGGCTGGATGGCTTGTGTGGGTTGGGACCAATCGCATTTTGAAGTTGTTTGTAACGTTTGGCAGCGTTGCTTCCTTGGCACCAGGTTCCCGATTTACCGAAACGCAATCGGCGCCTCGTGGATTCCCCCCAGAGTTGGCGATCGAGACATCGACACCGTTTCACGAAAGAAATCTGGCGATAAGGTCTTATCCGGCCAACACCGCGTGAATCCGTCCCCGTGTGTTCACAGCGCGGGTGGGGGTGCAGATGCGACTGCTGTTGCTTAGGTGACGGAAGGGGGGGGGGGAGGGGATTGGGGGAGGGGTGTGAGAGTGAGAGGATGTGGGGGGGGGTGAGTGGAGGGAGGGGTGTGAGGTTGAGTAGGGATAAGGGAGTTGACGGTGAGTGGGCGGAGGGGAATGGTGGCGAGTGAGGGGAGGAGTGGGAGGGTGAGTGGGTGGGTGGTGGGTACGTTAGGAGGAGGGAGTGAATAGTGAGCGGGAGGTGGTGAGTGGGAAGATGAATGAGGGGAGGGTATGGGAGGGTGAGTGGCGTGGGAGGGTAGGCGGCATCGTGGTGGTGAGTGGTGGTAGGAGTGGAAGGGTGAGCGGGGAGAAGGTGAGGGAGGAGGAGGTGATGTCAGCCGGCTGAGCGGGAGTTTCCGTCAGACTGCGTAACGTCCGCGCGTGGGACGCAAGGTTTGTTGTGACTCGTCGCTCTCAGGTTCCCGAGACCCCCTCTCGTCCCCTTATGCCCCCCCCTAGACCCTTTTGTCCCTCCCCCCGTTCCCCGCTCGTCTGCCCACGACCCCACTTAGTGCTCGAGCTGCAGGCGGTGCCGGTCGGGATGAGGAGGCGCTGGAGCAGAAGTGACGCCCGGGGTCAGAGGCATCAGCCGAGGGCGCGCATCGATCAGCGCGGCCCGACACGCGTCGCTGGGCGGACAAATAGGGCGCCCTGCCGCACCTACACCCAGCCTCCCCCGACACCCTGCACCACCTACAACCCCTACACACTGCGTCATACTCCGCGCGGCCTTGCCGGCCAACCCCGTCATTCCCAAGCAGCGCAGGTGTGCCAGTTAACGCGACGCGTGGTGGTGGTGGCGGTGGGATCAGAGTCAGAGATTAACCAGGTGGGGGAGGACTTTTAGGAATGGCGTAGGACGGGTGGGTAACTCCGTCTCTCCCTCTCACCTTATGCTGCTTGCAGGTGCCCGCGATGGCGCGGGTGTCGTGCTGGGAGTGCCTGCCGCCATCTCCCAGGCACAGGCGGCACGCAGCCACCCCGCACGCCACGCAGAAGGAGCACGGCGTCTCCGTCTCGTGCTCCACGCACGTGGCCCTGCGGGGCGCCCACTGCTCCACCTGCTGCTGCTGCTGGGCGCTGCCGGAGTTGTCCGGAGCTGTGCCGCCGGCACCGCGCTCCACGGCGATGAGGCGGTGCGTGGCGAGCGGACCCCGCGCCGGGTGGCACCGCGCGCGGCACGCGTCGCAGTAGAGCATCCCGCACTGCTCGCACTGGACCGTGGCCTCGGCGGGCGCGCTGCCCTCCTCGCACAGCTGACACACGGTGCCAGCCGCGCCGACGCCGGGGGGCAGCAGCGGCGCGGCGCCCCGCGCTTGCCTCCGGTATCGCTCCACGACCGCCTCGAGGATGGCGTTCCGGGGGCATCCCGCCAGCCCCCTGTCGCCCAACACCAGCGAGCGGTGGCACTGCGGGCAGGTGAGGCTGCCCCCCGCGCTGCGCGGGCTGCCTGGGGGGAACACGCGCACGCCGTTGCTGGGGGGTTTCTGGCCGCACGGCGTGGCCGGGTTGCTCACGAACGAGCCGTAGCCGCTGTCAGTCTCGCTGTACAGACTCAGCTTGTCCAGGTCCACGTAGTCCCCGCAGTCCGAGCCGTCGCTCTTGGCCGCCGCCGCCGCGGCCGCCGCTGCCCCCGCTGCCCCCGCTGCTCCGTGCGCGCCCGGGCCGCCCTCGGCGAGCTCGGGGCTGCGCGGCTGGAGGATGGTGCGCGCGCAGGGCAGGCAGGCGCTGTGCGCGCACGGGAGGATCACGGGCTCGCGGTACAGCGCCCCGCACACCGGGCACTTGAGCTCCTCCTCCAGGTTCGCCTGCGGAGCCTTCGCCTCCGCCGCCGCTGCCGCCGCAGCGGCCGTCGTGGCTGCTGCCATCGACGACGACGACGCTGCTGCTGCTGCTGCCGACGATGATGATGATGGAGATGAGGATGAAGCCGACGCCGCAGCCGCCGTTTTCTCCATCGTAGCGCCGCTGCGGCAGCCGAGGCTAAATCCGAGCAGGCATGGGAGCCTCCTTCCCCGTTGAAGCCGTGAGCAGCGGGCAGATGGGAGCAGGGCGAGGAGCGAGGAGAGGAGCAGGGAGCGCGCTCCGTCCGCTCCTCCGCCTCGATCTGCGCGGAATACTAACGGAGCCGGCACGCACTGATTTATGTCCCGAGAGATTCTCCCTCCCTCCTCCCCTCCCTCCCTCCCTGCCTCCCTCCCCCCCGCTTCCTCTGTCTCTCGCCCCCCCCTTCTCTCGCCACAAACACCGCGGTGATGTCAGCTCAGAAAGCCGGGCTGTAAAGGGGACGCGTGCACTTCACATCGCCCGCAGGGATGGTGCACAGTGGGGGGGGCGTGTCGCCTCCGGGGGGACGGGAAAACTACTGGAGCCATGGGGGGGGGGGGGGTAGCACCCTCTGACGGTGATGACCCCCCCCCTAGGGCATCGTGTTGGGGTGACACGCCCCCTACCCCACCCCCTCCCATCCATGCCGCGCGTCACCCATCCCCGTCGGACGAGCGGTGCCGCCCGCTCCTGCGCGGAGTTAAACGCGGGAGGCGCGGGCAGTCATTGATCCAGGCGCGGGCATCGATCGCGACTGATGAGGCACGGGGCCCCCACAGCTGATCCCATCCGCCTCACCTCTCCCCCTCCGGGGCCCTTATCCATACCCCCGTGAACACACACACACACCAGGGGCCCGCAACCCTCTCTCGCTCCGGCTCCCCGCTCTTGGACCCCGCTATCTCAATCATTGTCCCCTTTCGTTTATTTCCACCGCCCCGCGTTGCCCATGATCGCTGTGATGCGGTCTCCATGGTGACAGTCGCGCAGGTAATCGGAGCTTCCCCGGGGGGGGGGGGGGGTGCGTGGGGAGGGCCGGGCTCACCTGCGCGCCGCCTCTCTCTCTCTCTCTTCCTTGGATTACCGCCGGCGGCGTTAATTAGAAACGCCTAATTAATCGTGATTGACAGCGCCGCGCCTGACGCACGTGGCCTCGCGCTTGGGGCTGCGCGGTTTGATTCCGGGGTTCGCTCAATAACGTCCAGCTGCCCCTGCGGGGGAAGATAAAGACGGATCAGCCAACTCCGCCTTCTAAATCAACAACCGCCATTCGCCACTAAGTGGCGGTTACGTCAACACGACGCTTGTGCCAGGCTATGTGCACGTTGAGGCCACGTGACGTGTCGAACGCCCGCTGGCATGAGTTCACGGGACAGACCCATGTGCCACGGGGTGACTGACTGAGACGACTGGCTGATGTACCACCTGTGCCGCCCTACCGTGACAACTTGCTGTGCTTTAGCCACCCGGCGCTCCGCTCGTTGTTGTGAGCGTCGCTCCTCCACCCTCTGTTTTTGTTGGAAGGCCACTGCCTCCAACTGTCCCGTAGCGTCCTTCACGAGCCTCATCCATAAAGGCCGATCTTGACACCGCTGGTACCAGTCAGCAACAAATCCACGAAGCTCCGCATCCTTCTGTACCACATCACTCCATCTCTTCCTAGCCCGTGCCGCGCCCGTTTAGCCCCCTCGATCCGGCCAAACAAAAGCTGTTTAGGCATGCGGTGGCTGGGCATGCGGGCTACATGACCCAGCCCAACGCAACCTTGCCTGCCGAAGGAGCTCACCGATGGGACTTTGTCCAGATCTTTCAAGGATTTGTGAGCTCCTCACACGATGGATCGTAGGCAGGCCAGCCTAAATGTTTATAACCGGCGAAGATGTTCCATTAGGGGGGTCCAAATTTCGCAAGCGTAGAGAAGGGAGGGAATGACTGTGGCCGAGATGACCTGAAGCTTCGTGTGGAGCGACAGACAAGGTAGCTTCCACACAGCTTTACGCAACCGATGAAAAGATAATGCCGCTCGACTGATTCGGAGTGAGACCTCTGCTGTCAAACCGGAGCCGGTCATGAGCCCAAGTATGGGAAACTCTCCATTCTCTCCACAACTGTACTATCACCAATTGGGAGTTGTCGGGGTGGAGTGTCCGATGGTACAAAATACCCAGGCAGTTGCTTAATTTTGGTGGAGCTGATGGTAAGGCCCCACCTCTTAGTGTCAAGCTCCAGGTTCAGCAGCAGCGCCTCCAACTCCTCTGTGTGAGCAGTAATTACCAGATCATCGGCATGCATAACATGGTTGAGCAATAGGGAGCCATCCCTTGACTGCACCTGGGCATCGATCAGCCTCCCATTGTATCTGTACCAGATGGAAATTGCTCCGGTGCAACTGTTGAAGGCTTCACGAACTACGTGGTCGAAATAGATGTTAAATAATGTGGGAGCCAGAGGACATCCCTGTCGCACCTCAAGGTGTACAGGGAATGGCTCCGACTCCCGGCCACGTAGTTTTACCCGGGCCCACTCACCATTAGGCCTTGACCAGGTCAATAAAGCAGAGATGTAGGTCTTGTTGAAATTCCCTAGACCTCTGCTGTAGCAGGCGGACAGAAAATATTGCCTCTGTGCAGGACCGCTCTTTCCTGAAACCGCATTGGGGCTCCGCAAGCATCTCTTCAGCGTGCCTGGCAAGGCGATGTTGAATAATCCTGGCCAGGACTTTTCCCGGCACACTGAGGAGTGAGATGCCCCTGTAGTTGTTACAGTCTGTGCAGTCCCCCTTCTTAAAGAGGGAGGCCACCAGGGCATCATTCCAATCCTGCAGAACCTGTCCAGTGGTCCAGACTGTTATTATTATGTCATGTAGGGCAGTCTGTGCACAAACGCCACCCTCCCTCAGCAGTTCGCTTGGGAGATGATCTCTGCCCGTTGCCTTTCCTGTCTCAGGCTCTGAATCGCCTTCAGTACTTCCTCAACAGATGGCACCTCAGCCAGCCACTCACAGGGGGCAACTTCTTCCCATATTTGAGGCACCGCAGCCTCAGCAGGGTCACCCCCACGTTGTTCCATGATGTTTTCCAGGTTGAGGGATTTCCCCACCCCCAGGACCTCACAGAAATGCTCAGCGAATCTCAACCCTGTTCCTGGGGGTCGGAGATTGGATCACCGTTCTTTCTCCTAATGATGGTAATAGGTGTAGCACTGCAGGTTACTTTTTTGATGGAGTTAAAGAGTGATTTGTGATTGTGGGCCATTGAGGCAGACTCCATTACCTAAGCAACCCGTGACCACCAACCATCCTTTTGCCTCACGGCTCTCCGAACCTCCGAGCGAAGGCTGCGGTAAGTCTCTTCATTCTCTGACGTGGGATGCTGTAGAGTGTAGACGATGATAGTGGGCCTGTCGCTTTTTCTCAGCCAACCTGAACACCTCCTTTGTCAGCCAGGGTCTCTGAGGATGTCTGGACCGTGTACTCAAAGCAGCCATTGCAGCTGCATGAGCCACAGTCCTAAACCTCGCACATTTCTCCTCGACATCAGGAGTCGCGGACGATGCCAACCCCAGCCGCAAGCGATGATGAAATTCTCGCTTGCAACTTTCATCAGCTAGCTGAGACCATGCCACTATGGGTTTGAATGGGGTCCTATGTGTCCACCCACCACCGGAGTGGAAGAATGGCAGGCGCATCTTACAGATGACAAGTCGATGGTCAGTGGGCAGATCAGCTCCACGGTAGGTCCTGGTGTCAAGGATATGGGCCCGCATCCGTTCTTCCATCACTATTTAGTCCAGCAGATGTTCTTGCTTGGACCCGGCATGTATCCATGATGTTGTGTGGATGCGCGATGCTGAAACAGCGTGTTGGTATTTACAAGCTCATGGGCTGCACAAAAATCTAGCAGCCTCCTACCGTTGTTATTGGGCTGATCTGGCTCATGTCTTCCAATCACTCCAGACCAGGTGCGAGCATCATGACCAACTCGGGCATTAAAGTCACCCAACAAGATGACTCTATCCCGAGGGGCCACTTTAGCCAGCACCTGTGACAGGAAGTCATAGAAGGCATCTGACTCATCGGCCTTCGCCTGATTACCTCCATGGATGTTCGTCTTCGGTGGGGGCATAAGTAACCACGAACACCACTCCTCGCCAATGGTTGATGGGAAGGCGAGCCCAAAGTAGCCTGGGGCTTACAGCTTCCCACACCTCACCGCCACGCTCCCACGCTTCCTTCATTGTTTTGTTCAGAAGAAGAACCACTCCCTGTTGTTTGGCACTCTCCTGCCCCAAGTAGAAGACTGTCCACCCCTCATGGTGGCAGGAGCCAGAGCCGGTCTACCGGACCTCCTGAATACTACAGAGATCCAGGTAGGTACCGGTCCAGCTCCCGACAGAGGAGTGGCAGCCTCTCCTCCGCAGTGAGCGTTCGAACATTCCACGTGGCCATCCGTAGTGGCTTTTTGTTGTTTCACTCACACACACAACGAAGACAACTACCGCCAGGCATTCTCTCTCCGCTCCTGAATGTGGGCGATCATGAGTTGCCCGCTCGCGGCCCCCTCCCGCCAGCACTGCCCAGCAAACTCCACTTGTTTTTCCTAACTGTGAGAATAATGTCTCGGATGCGTGGCTTATGTCTTTTCAACAACAGACAATGATGGTAATTGTGATAATGATGATGATGGTAGTTATGATGATGGTAATAATGATGGTGGTGGGAGTGATTATGATGGTGGTAATGATGATAAGTCATGATGATGGTGATTATATTAATGATGGATTTGTAGTATGATGATGATGGTGGTATTAATGATGCTAAGGGTGATAGTCATGATGATGGTATTGATGAGGAAGGGTTTTATGGTGGTGGTGGTGGTTATGTTTGTGTGTGAGTGGCGGTGAGGTGGTGAGTGGTAATTAACAGGCTTTAATGAAACGCGTAGAAGCTCGCTGCCCGCGTGAGCACCGTCACGCCGAGCCGGGGGTCCCTTTAGCGCCCTAATTGGATCTTGGCCCAAATTTAACCAAAAACGGGGTCCTAAGGGGGCCCCGGGCGCGAGCCGTCCCCCCCCCCCCCAAAAAAAATGGGGGGACGGAGACCACAGCCTGTCCACATCATCACCATTATCATAACAACACCATCACTGTACTGCATCGCTATACTACATCACCGTCATCATCAGGGCTTCATTTCAGCCGGAGTTGACCGGGGCAGAGCTGCGGAAAATATTTTATGGACTCCGCCCCCACCCACCCGCCCCCATCTGGCAGGGGCCCCGGAAAATATTGAATGAGAAATGAATCCCTGGCCACCACTAT